CAGAGTGGGAAAAATACCCAGAGCTTCTATGTTACCATTAGGTATTTGAGAAATTAAAGTCCATTTAGGTCATTCAAATCAATGGAGCACAAGACCATTTTCCATGCAGCTTGTTACTGGGGGAAATATTAGGATAATGACATTAGGAAGGACTATGCCTGTCCACCATTGCTGAAGACACTGCCTAATTATTACAGAGTAGACAATAACCAGTGGGAAATGCACAGGGGGGACTTTCACTTATCAGGGCAGAGGAAATATCGACAAAGATACATGGAAATGAATCAACTCTGCATCCTTGACACAGAAATGAGACCAGTTTTGCAACAAGAATGTGGTGAAGAAGGCTGGTCACAAAGCAGGAGCTGGAAGACGTAAGTTCCTACCATCCTGCACCCCAGATGAGTGGGGGACACTGGATAATCATCACTTCACGACCTCAAATTCCTCAATTATCAAATTAGAAACAAGTTCTAAGCAGAGGGCTTTTAAAGACAATCTCAAAAGGTCACACACTGTGTGATTCAATTTACACAGCATCCTTGAAATGATAAAATTGCAAAGTTGAAGAACAGTGATCAGTGCCTGCCAGGGGTTGCTGGGTGGTGGTAAGTGAAAAAGGCAGCGAAGTAGCTTTGTGGGACTGGACAGGGAAGTTCTGCCTCCTGCTGGCAAGCTGCTGACTCAGGTCTATCTGCAGCTAAGACTCCGAAGCACACTGCGGTTACACTCTCACACACCTGATTTGGGGTTGTATTTGTTTGAAAGGAAGCATGGAGGGGAAGTCAGTGGAGGGCATGAGGGACTTCTCTATGCTAACGTGGCAACTTCCTGTGAATCCACAACTTCAGAACACAAAGGTTTATTTTTTAAGGGTTTGATGTGAAATATTTCATTTACTAAATTATATCTTAAGATGAATCTTTTAGCCACATTCAATGATCAAATACATAAGGTGTATATATAACTATCTTAACTTTCCAACAAATACAAAACTATAATTTCTAGATGGATCAAAGATATAGGTAAAATGAAAGCATACAAGGAATAGGAAAACATGTACTGTAGATGCTTATTTCTATCATTTTGTGGTATAGGGAAAGTTTTCTAAAATATCATAAAAAGAGCAAGAAATGTTAAACACCAGCAAGAGAAAAAAAAATAAGTGCTACAAATAAAATTAAAAATGAATGACAAACTATGGAAATCAGAATACATGATAATCCAAAGGCATGATAAAGGACATGAATAGGTAAGACCCCCAATCACACTCAGAACAGAGATAGCTAAAAATCACATACAGAGATAATCCACTGGTGACCAAAGAGCTGCAAATTAAAGCAATTTTAACAATTCCTTCCAAGAGAGACTCCCAGGGTACAGAGGATGAGAGGCTATGAGGATGCAGCTGGGGATGGCAATGGAGAAATAACTGGATGCCTGCTTTCTCAGGGTACTCTGAGAATGTGTCCATATGTAAAACGACCAATTCACTCAGCCACCATTGTACTAGGCATTTAGCAAAGATAACAATGGCATGACTACCAAACAAATAACGAAATAAATATGCCTGCTGAAGATGACCCACATCAGTAGCATTTATTTTATCAGGCCGAAAACTGTAAAGCATAAGTGTGCATCAACTGGAGACCAGTGATAAATCCGTGGCTCACACATGTGTGGCCTAGAGAAATGACAACATTTGATTCTATAGTTGGTTTTGGCCAGGACACATAGCACAGCAGTCAGAAGCACAGTTCCTGAGCCAGCCTGCCTGGTCCATGGCCAACCCCATCACAAACAGGCAGTGTGCTGCAAACAAACTGCTGAGCCTCTCTGATTCTCCTAAGCTAATGATCACCAATGCCTACACCTCTTCATGTTGCCATGAGAACTGAAAGAGCCATTAGCTGTAAAACACGGAGGACAGCCTCTGTAACCTAAAAAATGCTAGAAGATAGCTTGTTAAATTTTTTTTTAAATGTCTTTAAAAATATATCTGCCACATGGATTGAGAAGACCACAGAAGTACACGATGACCCATTCAGAAGCAGAGAGAGGACTGCTTCTCTTCAGACAGTGTAACGGGTATCATGACTAGGCGGTGAGAGTGTGGGTTATTTTTGCTTCCTTCTTAGAGTTTTCTGTATCATTACCATTAAAAGTATAATAGCCAGTGGGCACTCTGAGGCACTTTTGCAAAGTGAGCTAGTGGAAGCTTTCTGGAGAGAACTTGAGCAATGTGCTCTACACTTTCTCCCCTGCTCACTCAATTTCTAGGAATTTATCCTGTGAAAACAATACAAGTCTACAAATAGATGCACACATACATGTGCATGCATGAAAACACATGTACACATGTACAAAGGAATATTTACTAAATTGATATTTACAACAGCAAAATCAACAAGAGTCTGAATTTTCACTGAATGCACCATGCTTGGCAGCAACCACACAGCACAAGAAGATCATGACACAGCACCATTTGTCAAAGTCACTTTGGAGAGGACAAAAGCTTCCCACTTCCCACAGAAGGAGATACTGAAGGACTGTGATGCAGAAAGAGGCTCCTGAGGCCAGGCAGACAAGAACATCCACACAACTGATGAGCTTCTCAAACTGCCCCAAAGTCAGACTCGGGCCTGAAGTTGGAGGAAGCAAAAGCAGGAATACTTGGCGTTGAAAGAATGGAACTCCTGATGTTACCGTGCTGTGCAGGAAGTGTAAGAATTGATCAGGAGAAATCAGGAGAAAGCCCAGAAGACACAGGAACAACGCAGACCCCAAAAGACAGCAACACATGGTCAGAAGATGGTCAGGGAGCCAGATGCTCAGAAGAAAACCCCAACAGAGCTGCTTTGGTGGCCACAGCCAGCTCTTCTCGTTGAAATCAGACCAGTATTAGCCAGTTGTGCCAAGAGAAAATGGGAGGCAGAGCATGCATGAGTAAAAAGGGAGGGATATGCCCTGACCCATGCCCAGTGAGTCACAAAGCCATGGAAACCACAGCTTCAGGTTCAGAACCCAACACCATCTGTCTTGATTATTTCTTGTATCACTGGGAAAAAATATGCAAAACCCAAAGTTACAGGAGGAAAATCACAGTATGTAAAGGTTCCAGTCCATAACTGGCTGGCTCCAAGGCAGGAAGGCTTGGCAGACAAGCATCACAGAGGAGAAACAGTTCATTGTGGACAGAAGGTAGCAAAGCAAACAAGAGAATGACCACAGCTCTTTCTACCCCTTATATCTTATCCAAGCTACTTAAAGTGGGGAGCACTCACACCCTTATTCCTAGCACCCTTGATCCTAGCATTTTACCATGAATCAATCACACATTCTAGATCTAGCCACCTCTGAAAATGCCCCACCTATGACTATATGAGGCTTTGGGAGGACATCTAAACTTACAAGCCATGATACCATCTTTCTAAAACTATCTTTATTGGACAAAAGGACTTTAAACTCTGAAACAAGTTGCAGACCCTCTGAAATCCCCTTCTGCCAGCCTATCCCTTCCCACAGCCACTGCTTAGACTCCAGCCTGCGACAGGTGCCCCTGCAGCGTGTGTCAGGACCCTGGTCTGAGATCTGCACTAGCCCACCACACTGACATATAATGTGATTACGATGGGATTCTCCAGGGGGAGGAGCAGCAGCTTATATTCTTGTACAACTTGCACAAATGGTAGCCATGAGCCCTGGCCACCAACCTAGAGGTCTGATAAATATTTATTGATTTTTTAACTCAATTTATCCAATTTGTGGTAGGGTTTTGCACACCAAGGGCTTTGCTTCAATGGGGAGGTATTTATAGTAAAAGAGTTTAAGAAGAAGGGTTCAGATCAGGATACCTTGTGTCCAAAGGCCAGCTCCCCTTACTAACTAATGGGCCCAAAAATACTTAATCTCCATACCCAAATGGCTTTAAAGCAGGAAGAACAACAGTGCTATACTCAATTGGCTATTTACTGAGATACCAGGCCCTGTTCAAAGCTCTTTACAAGTCCTATCACATTTAACACTCAAAGCAACCATATGACATAGTACTGCTTCTAGTCCCATGTTATAAAGAGGAAACTGAGGCAAACAGAAGTTAGTAAGTGTAAAACATATTCAAACCCCAACAGTCATATTCCAGTTCTGTGCTCTAGATCAGAACAGCCTTCCATACAGTACACTGAGCATAGTACAGACTACTGGGAACTTTCTCAGCACAGTTGGTGCCTGAATTTTTGAAAATGGAGCAGCACCAAACAGCAGCAATCTAACTGGACCAGAAGCCCCTGCTCTCCCCTGCAGCTCTGTGTTCCTGCGACTCACAAAAGGGCTGACTGCAGATGAGCTGTGAAAACAAGGCCCTGTTCTCTGCTCCTGGTTCTCTTTCTCCTAACACTCTTGAGAAGCTGCTTCAGAACCCTGACCAGAAATTTACCAGAGTATGCACTGGAATTCTATATTTTATTTCAGAACAGCCTCCAAAATCTAGTTCCCAGCCACTGTAGTAGTCAAAGTCCTTCCCTGGGGACTGTGCATATCCTAACCACAGTGTACCTCTCACACGGCCCTGATCAGCCACTAGGATGGCCCCCCACCTAATCCAAATGCCACTCATACTGTGACACCACAGTCACTGACTTCTGATACAAACACTTTCTCCTGATGACAATTTGCTATCCTCTAACATTCTGCATTTCAAAACTCCATCTTCTCTCCAAGAACATAAGCCACCAAGGCAGAGACTGGGTTTTTTCTCTCTCTCTGCAGCCCCAAAGTGCCTATCAAAGCACCCATGGTCCTGTACCCTGGGCTTTAAGCCATTGAGTGGAAAGTTATACATGGGAACAGTCAGAAATCATTATGAAGATAAACTGTTTTCCAGGTGGAAGAGACCTGTAGAAATACACTAGTTTCAACTTTTAACCAAACCAAATCCCAGGCACCAGCAGTTACAGATGTCCAAAAGAAGCCACCACGGTCAGCCATCAGGCAGCATTTACCTGGCTCTCCTTCCTCCTCGCCCAGATTCAGCACGATGATACAGATGTGCTTCCGCAGCTGGCGTGTGTTGGAGAACTTCCGACAGCACTTGCTGCACTCCAGGCTGCTGGGTGTCAGGCTGCTCCCTTCCTCTGGGGCCAGCTGGCCATCCCCGTTTGGACTTGTGGTGTTTTCTGCCAGATCCTCTTCTGCACTGGACTTTTTTGTGGACCCCTTAGGTCTGCCTCGCTTCCTCTTCATGACAGAAAACTCTAAAGAAAACAAGAGGGAAGGATGGAGTTACACAAGGTGGCAGGAGAGAGGAGTCACTGGACTTCCAAGTGGGAGAACTGTGCAGGTTGCACACTTGATTAAAAATGAAAGATCTGAAGCAGTTCCAGCAATTACCAGCTGCAAATACCATTTTCTGTGCTAATACTGCATCTGTATATTGACTGATAGTTGATTTTGTTGTATTCTGCATCAAGCTGATCAGAACCTTTGCACAGGCTCCTTCTGTGAAGCTGGGGGGATTTTAAGTTATGGCCACGAGTCCACAAGTCCTGCCCTTATTAATCATTATTCCCATTTAAGTCCAGTTCTCAGAAACAGCTTCTGGACTTGTCTGCAAAGGGTTCTCAGAGGCTTTGAGCCTGTCATTCTCTTCACGAGTATATAACTATTAAGATTATTTCAAGGCGTCACATTGTCCTGGTGAGAAAGAGAAAAATAAAAACAATCTAAAGCTACAAATTATAGGGTGAAAGACAATAACAATATTTTTCAAGTTTCTCAGTGAACCTAGGGATTTTAAATGGCATGATCAACGCTGCTTTTGAGCAAGTTTCATATCATTTTATACCATGCATTTCTTCTTAATTAGTGTTTGTCTTTAAGGCATTCACCTCTAAAATGAAGAGGGGAACAAAGAGAGGTGAGTGGAGTCAGGGGCAGACCAGCATGTACAGTCATGCAAAGGTAGAGCAGTGTGATCTAGGGGGATGTGAACTCCCTAACAGAGACACCTCAAAGAGGCCAGCAGGAGGCCTCCCAGCCTCTAACTGACATCCCAAACTCCAGCAGTGCTTGCCAGATTGAGGCACTGCAGATGCACAGCCCTCTTTGAATGCGAACTTCAGCACAGAAGGGAGGAGTTCTGGATCCTGGCACCATCTTGGTGAATGTAAACCACAAAATGATGACAGCTTTCAGAGCCCTCCTGTTCTCTTTTTTGTGTCGCTTGGTAAAGTAAAACAAAGCCATTTTATTCACTGCTAGAAAACCAGTGATCCCTTAATTAAGAGGGTGTCCTATGCCTACCAGTCAAGAAGCCATAGAGACCAAGTCAGCAGAAAGAGCAGCAGGACTGTGGGTGCTCCGAATCAGAGTGCCTGCCTGGGAACAGGGCCCAGAGAATGCCTGGGGACTGCAGAACAAGGCAGTGATTTCCTGGCAAAGGGCATCCTTGCAGGACCAGAGCTTCTGCACAGTTGGGATGCCAAGGGTGGGTGAGCCTTGGCTAAGGATTCAAGGCAAAGCCTTCTTCAGACAGGGCAGCCAACACACTTACAGCCTTCAGTCCATCTCATTGGGGTATGCTAGATACAGCGAAGTAGGGAAAGGAAAGAGCTTTAAAGAACTGAAAGCACATCAAGAGAGCAGATAATGGGAGGGTGGGGACAAGGGGAAAAAATGAGAACCAAGACCTGGCATGTAAAGGTACAAGATCCCAGTAATGAATGTAACTGCACTGTCTACCTAGAATGTACCAATAAATTAAACAATGACAAAAAAAGAGAGCAGATAAATCAACAGGCTCAAGCCCATCAGATCCCTTTGCCAGCATGGACCTCACCTAGAGGGTGAGGGGGAAGAAGAAATGTCCTAATAGAATACAGACAAACCATTTACCCCCGAAATCATTAAAATTTTCCCAATTAATATTCTTTATAACAATATATACAACCTACTGAAGCAGCAATTAATATCAGCACAACAGAACTAGCAGGCCATGAAACACCCACTTCACATCACGTCAGCCCAACTGTGGAAGCACGGTGAACCAATAGTTTATTGAAGTTGGGGCCCAGATCTATCCCCCAGTGGCAAATGCTGGCATTCTGCCATGTAGATGGAGTTGCTACTCTGAAAAGCTCACAGGATGGAACTATGTAGCAAAGAATTAACCTGACCCCAAGAGAAGTCTGCCCTTCCCCTGGATGACTGAGAGGTGATCTCCAGGCCCCTAGATATCCCCTGACAGGAGTGCCTGTGTCTTCCTGTATGCTACGGTCCCTGGATGACTTATGATCTGGGCTTTGGAACATGGCACATCAGCTCCGCGCTCTAGAGGAACTGGAGAACAGAAGGTATGGTCAGAACCTCAAAGACAATTAGAAACTGCCCCATGTGGGCAGTGTCATGAAGCCCCTACAAAAACTGCACAGCTGTGACTTGAATGAGATTCCTGGCTGGATGTAATTTTGATATTGTCACACACAGAAGACAGGAGGGGGTGATGGTATCCAAGACTCATAGGGTAGAGGAGACAAAAAGCTCCACCAGGATCTTTCCAAGTCCTAGTCCATAATTTTTAAGTGTAGACCTTTCCTAAGTTCTGGGCAAGACAGCGTGCCAACCACACAGTTGGCACACGGCACAGAATGCCACATGGCTCAGCAGTGTAAGAGTCTCTTCCCAAAGTGGAAACTCCTTGAAGGCAGGGTCCTTGTCCTGACTAAGCTTTATCTCCCCCTCAGCACTCACCTGGTGTCCTGGCCCAGTGAACCCAGGTAATTAAACTGACAGCAGTGGGCAAGGTGGTTGTCACAGGAAGAAACATGAAATGAGCCCTGAAAGCTCTGAAAAAGCCTCAGACACAACAGTGACAGAACTAATCTTCCATCCTGCCACATCCATAATTGAGATCCTCAAGACCAATTAGTTAGCTAAAAATGAAATATTCATAAATGAACTTGGAATGATTTAAGTACTGAAAACGAGTTGCTACTGTCAAATATCCACATGTCATAAAAGAGCTGAGACTCTTGGAACTGGGCAAGGAAAAGCTCAGCCTCTGTACCAAAACACTTGAATGGACATGTGTGTAATTCCTCTTCCTCCTCCCGAGGTCCTCTACGCTGTCACTGGACTCGGGGACTCTGTCTTACAGATGTCTGTGCAGTAACTTCCCTATCCATTCTCAGGGCAACTTTGCACCCTGTGCTGCACATGGTCTCCAGGATCCTGTTCTCTACTTGGGGATCTCTGCCTCCAGCCAGTATCTCACCATCATTCCCTGGCTCTGGAACCTTCCATAGTTCTGGATGACTTTTCCACAACTCTCAGACCCGGCTTTCACTGTCCTTTAGCAGGTGGCCCAACCCTACATTTGCTCACTCCTACATACCCACAGTGCCCACCTTCCCTCTTGTGTCCCCCTCAACTGCTCGGTGCAGTTTCTAGTCCTCGCTGCACTAGCATAGGTAATCCCAGTCTGTTTATTTACCTGCTCTGGTCCGCTGCCTGTGCCTGAATCCTTCACTCCAAGCCCCAACTCACATGCTGACATCTCAGATCCAGCTCAAGCCTCAGCACCTCCTCCACAAGGCTGTACCATCTGCTCCCCCGACCCAGGCCACAGCGTGAATTATGCACATGTGGGGTGTGTACACTCACAGTTTTCTGACTGTTTCTTTTTCTTTCCCTTCAATTATAAGTTTGAGATTGGAACTGGCCCTTTCATTGCCAGGTTCCACAGGATCTTAAGCAAAGCTGGATATGGAGTAGACAATAAATCAGTTCTTGATGACAGGAAAGGATTTAGCTGGAAAGTCATTTCTTGTGTTGCAATTCAGAGCATTTTAACCCTGCTCTAAAGCTAAAGTTTGGGGAAAATTTCCTTAGTCAGAAAATCAGCCCTGCAGATCCAAGGCCAAAAACTTGCCAGGGAAAGAATCAGGTGAAGGTTCTCAAATACAATCAAAAGACAATACAAGCATTATGAAACAATAGACCAACATAATAAAAAAATCTAATAATGTAAGCCCTTTATTTTTGCATCACTCAAGTTTCCAAAATACTTTCCCAGCTATTATCTCATTTTTCCTTACAAAAACCTCACAAGACAAGTTTAGCAAATATAATTTCCTCAAAAGGAAAGGGAACAAGAGACCCAAAGGTCCAAGTGGCTTGGCAGAATTTTCAGAACCAACTGCTGAACAAGCAGAACTGGGATTTGGGTTTTTTTTAATCCCCAATCAGAAACCTGTCTGCTGAATCATACACCTCAGGTATTTGAAATGAAGTTCAGATCCGTGCAATTTAACGGAGCTAATATGAGTCATACAGAGAACACTGGCTCGTAGTCGAGCAGATATGGATTCAAATCTACCGAGCCTCATTTTCCAGAATAAACACAGAACTACCTCTATTTTATAGTCACTGCTAATAAAAGTGATCCACTATAATACTGAGAACTGTACTTCAGAAGTGACTGATAAAATGGCAATCATTTCTAACAATCATTCCACTTTGGAATACATCTGTTAAGAAGCTACTACCTTGACAGCCGATTCTCTGCTAGACAGTAGAATTCCTTGATGTATATGCATTTGTGTTCATTCTACTTAATATGCATTTTTGCTTGATTTCTTCATTTTAAAATAGCTCACACACCAAGAAAGTCGATATAGAATCAGGGGCACATAAATTTATTATGCCTGAGACTATGGATAAACCAGTCTGCAAGACTCTTACTTGGCAACTCAATCTCCAGTCACACCAGCTCGAGAATTTCAGAAAATCCTGGAAGACTAATGGTTTAGGGTCCTGACAGTCAATCTCCATAACATTTATTTCCAAAGCCCAGGAAGCAATAGAGGAGACACTGAATTATTTATCAGAAAGTTAGGAACATGAGCCTTATTGGTTTCTGAAGAATGCAACATCCCCTCTGAGGACAGACTGCATCCTGTTCTGCAGGGCAAAATATCCAAGGCCCAAGACTCCCCAAGCCTACTCCCATGGCTTATCAGCCACACCAGGAAAATACCATGTAAATAACAGCAATAGGAGATAATGAGGAAGCACACCTCAGGCACCACACTAAGCACTTCACACACACTTCCTCATTTAATCTTCAATGGTGCCAATCGTCATTAGTCCCATTACACAGTCAAGCACGCTGAGAATAATGTGCCCATGCTCACAGAATGAGCCCATGATAGAGCCAGGATTTGCAGCCCCATCTGTTGCCTCGGTCAGTAGGCTT